CTTGAAGAATGAGGTTGGAATATTGATGGGTATGGCATTGAATTTGTAGATAGCCTTGGGAAGTATTGCCATTTTCATGATGTTGATCTTTCCAATCCAGGAGCATGGGAGTTTTTGCCACTTTTTAAGTTCTGTTTTGATTTCCTTTTTCAAGTTTTTAAAGTTTTCATCATAGAGGTCCTTCACTTCTTTGGTTAAGTTAATTCCTAGGTATTTTTTGTGGGGCTATTATGAATGGAGTTGCTTTCCTAATTTCAGCCACAGCTTATTCTTATTCTTAAACGATTGGCTGTCTCACTCCTCCCATAACCCTAGATTACATTTCTAGGCATATGACTGCTCCTTTCTGGTTTTCCTACAGAAGCTGCTACAAATCATCCCCAGGCTCCGTTACAAATGAGGAGCTTGCCACACAGGCCTGCACCTGCCTAAGTGACCGCTGGTCCCATTTCCACTCCTTGACTTCAGCTGAACAACTGCATCCATTTCCCAAGTTTAAACTAATGAATCCATCAGCAATGATCACCCCCAGGGTGATTTACAAGGTCACCTTATTACAGCACAATATCTTTAATCACATTTAATCATGCATTAAGACAGAAATACAAACAACTCCCACCTGACTATAAAGGGAGCTCTTTCTGTATTATGCGTAGCTGTTTAAGGGTCTTCCACAGAAAGCAATATACAAAGTGTCATTAGTAACTTGAATTATAGTAGAATTATGGGATGTGGGTGTTTAGGGGACCTGAGAGGTGAATCAAGACATTATTGATTTTCCGTAATGGTCTAATAATCTCTACCCTTGAGACCATGTTGATCTACAAAACGTCTTGCTTGCTTAAGAATTACTTCGACTTTTCTGGAGACAGAGAAGAGACATAGAAGAAGTTTTAAAAATTCAATCAGAGGAGAAGGTTAATTTGTATATTATATAATTTCCTTTTGGAAACAGTTCCTCTCAGGATTGTGTAAATACAAGAGGATATTTGAGGACTTACAAAGACCTTTGTAGGTTTCCAGCCAAAATTCTCTTATGATCCCCATCAGTTATAGAGCAAATCCTGTTGGGGACCCAATAATCTAAAACTGACTTGTTCAACTTCATATCCACTGTGGATGTGGATGCCGTATTATAAATCAGTTTTCCCAAGTGTAGCCTATGGACCAGCACGTGAGAGATTAGCCACACATGTTCTCTATTTGCATAATCATGCTGCTGAGATGCCTGGATGTCATCATGTGAGATCTGGCTAATAAAATCTGGTGTGATAAAAATAAACAGTAAAGTGATCTTTGGGGTTTTGATCTAGCATTTTAGTCTGTATGTATGTGAGGACATCCACAGGGTTCTTTCTCTCCACAACATGAATGTATAACTTTCCTTACCATCAAGGAGAAGAAGGAAATTTGAGGCCCCACAGCAAGTTGTAATTGAATATAATTTTTGGCAACTTGTGAAATGAGAGCATGGAGCTATTCTGATTACTCAGAGGAAATGCTAGGAGGAGGATTGATTTTTAGGACTTGTTTATATACATGCAAATACTTATGTGATAAGTGCCAAGGAAGATCTGAGTGGAAAACAGAAGGGAGAAAATGAATGCTCAATGAAAAAGGAAGTCTGTGTATATGTATTGTATATAGCAATATAGTACAAGATTGTAAGTTTATGTATAAAAAGCAAAGACAGAATTTAGCATCATCTAGTCTCAAATGTTTCTGATTTAACCAAACAAAGATATTTATTGCAAATCCCTCTTATTGATTCCAGAATGAACAAATTGGGATCCAGGATGCCCTTTCGATTCCATCAAAGCTAGGCCCATGGATCCTCTGGTCACCATTTGGTCAATGGTTGCCAGACACTAAAATAGTTGCAGAGCCTTTCCCTTCTTGCATTTAGCCATGAAAAGCAATGCAAAGTAACAATTTCATTTGTATTTTCTCTACATGGTGCTAACTGATAAGGCTACAAATAATGACAAGCTCATGCTGTTATCTTCAAATTAGAACACAGTTCATGAGCCACCTTGACACTCTTGCTCTATCAAGGAAAAAAAATCCAGTATCTAGTTTGACGAGTGTAGACGTCCATTCCTGGAGGTCCCGCCATGCTACAGCAAGCAAGTACTTAGCTAATGACAGGACTCTTTACACATCTGTAGCCCCAAGTTCTAGAATTAGTCTCCTTGCCAAGAGAAGCATTCTGAGGTGTTGAGGGATATCGATTGGCCTTTCAGAAAAAAAAATTTGATTGTGAGCTCTATGATCAATTTTGACAAAGTTCAATAAAAAATGATATACCCAAGAATGACTTATTGTTTCCATGTAGGATAATGATGTGTTTCTGATTTGAATACTTAAGAGCTGTCTTTGAGTAATGGGGTTCCCTAGCTTGGTAATGTTAGAGATTACTGAAAGGAAGCCTCTATCTGCTTTTCTTTGTGATATTTGAGGAGTTGAGAGAAGTAATACAAAGCTGCCATGTTCTGTGTCACCCTCTCTGCAATATACCTTAAAACTATTTGCTCCTCAAGCCTTAGAAAAAACATCTGAGGATGGGTGGTCAGTGCTACATCCACAATTAACAGATGGGAAGGAGGATGTTGGAAGGGATCAAGCAACTTGCCCAAATCACACAGCTAGGAAGAGGCAGAGTCACAAAACTCATGGTCTTCTAACCCTACCCTGCTTCTTCTCTAACAGAGGAAGGATTCTTTCTCCTTGCTTGAGAGAAGATATAAATATGGCCCTGAGAAGTATTAAGAGAATGTGAAATGCCTATAGCAGGGCACTGCTTCTGCTCACTCCAGAATCCCGCTGGTCTCTTTCTATTTTTAAGCACATCAGCCCCCATTAGCCAGCACCAGCTTCTCTTTGTCTGAGGGCTGCCCTCAGGCTGAAGGAGTCTGCTTTGTGCACATAGACAGCTCCAAGTTCTTGGAAATTTATGTCCCCCTAGAGATGGCCTTTAGCAAATGACTGATAGGTTTAGAGGCACACATATGAGTTTGCTTGTCCCACGGGTGACCCACTAAAGCTTCCCCTAGCAAGGCTGAGTCAAAATGCTTTCATGTAACTTTGACATCCTACCCTAGTCATTCACCTCCTTCCTTTCAATATTACCACTTCCTTGTTCTCTTCTATCTTCAGTCTAAGACTGAAGTATTGGGGACAATTTTTCTGTTAAAAAAAGATGGTTTAACCTCCATATTATTGAAAGTGGTTGCTATGATCAGAAACACACTAAGTTTTCTATATTCCAATCTCAATAAAGTACCAGTCAAAACAAATGAACTGAACTACAGAGGAGAAAAAAATCTCTACTAAATATGAGAGAAGTTTTTAGAGATTGATTTATTATAAAGATGACTAAACCTTGTCTCATATTCTTAACTTTTTTTCAAAAGGGAGTTAATAGTTTTACAAAGCAGCATTACATTGTGACCAAGACAAAAGGTTTTGGACATATAGCTAAATTTGAGTGCTAAATTTTCCATGAGCTGTATAGTAACCTCTCTATGCCTCAGTTTCTTAATCTGGAGAGTAGGGATAAAATGACACCAATTTCAATTATTGCTGGGAAGTTTACATGTGACATAATATGATATGTGAGGTCTCCTAGCCATAAATCATAGCCATTATGATCAACTTTTGTATTTTAGAAACAGACTGGCCCCATAAAATTCCTTCAAGTCTGTAATTATATGCCTCATCTTGCCCTTACCAAAGGCTGATAATCCTGGGTTCTTCACAACTGGGAGGAAAAAGGACCCAGGAGAGGTAGTGAAATTGTGCCATCATCTTCTGGTGAAAGATGAAAGGCTTATAAACTACGGGTTCCAACAAGGATATTAATCTTTCAAGAGTTTCACGAAATAAGAAAGCACTTATTGAGCTTCTAAAACATGCCGGGCACTGTGTTAAGCACTCTATCTCCCCAACCTTGTAACAATTATTACCCCCATTTATAGAGGTCAGTGAAGCTCAGAGTAGTTAAACACATCTCCAAAATCAAGTGGTTAGGCCAAATTTAGGTCCAGGTCTCTATAACTCCAAATCATTTTTACTCCATTCCACGGAGAATTTTAATTACAACCATATGAGCTTATCCTGGGAAAGTGGAATTATATATACATATATATATATATATATATCAGTATATGAATTTGCACTTAACCTCAAAAATAATATTTATTCCAAAGATAAATGTGAACTTCAACAAGGTCATTGAAATAAAGAGATCCTTTTTGAAAAGAGACCCAGGGGCACAGCAGATAGAAGAAAGACTTGACAAATGGGATTACATGGAAAGCAAAAGTTTCTGCACAGCAAAGGACATATATATATATATATATATATACTAGAAATATAGCCAACAGACTGGGGGATCTTTATCAGCAGTACATCTGACAAAGGCCTACTATCCAAAATATACAAGGAGCTCAAGAAACTGACCTCTCCCAAAGCCAATAAGAGAATCACTAAATAGGCAAAGGAGCTAAGGAGAAACTTCTCAGAAGAGGTAAGGATGGCAAAAAAAAAATATCATGAGGAAATGCTCATCATCCCTGGACATAAATGAAATGCTACTCAAACCCTGAATTTCCATCTCACTCCAGTATGATTGGCCAACATTGAGAATTTGAACAACAACAAATGCTGGCAAAGATATGGGGAAAATGGAGACCTATTACATTGTTGGTAGGAATGTAAATTGTTACAATCATTCTGGAGGGAAGTTTGGAAATTACTCAAAAAACTAAACATAGAACTACCTTATTCTAGCCATACCATTCTCGGACATCTACCCAGACCATTAGTAGGCAGGATATGGTAAAGATACTTACATATCCATGTTCAGTGCTGCACTATTCACAATAGCCAAGCTGCAGAAACAGCCCGGCTAGCCCACAGTAGATGAGTGGATCCAAAAGAATGTGGTATCTATACAAAATGGAATTTTACACAGCCACTAGAAAGACTAGGACCTAGAACAAATCATGTTAAGTGAGGTAAGCCAAGCTCAGAGATATGAAAGGTGCACTTTCTCTCACATGCAGAAGCTACATCTAAAATACACTGGGACAAGATAAATTACACAGGTCTCTAGGCACTCACGTATACTGACACCAAAGGAGGGTACTTTTAGGAGAGGAACACTAAGGCCCAACACCTATGTGCATTTGATTATATAAAATAAAATGAACTCCAGGAAATGGAAATAATGTTTTTTCTTTGTTGCCGTTTTCATGTTCTTTCCTTTTTGTCTTTGGGAAGGGAAGGACAGCATAGAAATAGAGAGACAAAGGGTGAACAAATGCAGCAGTGATACTCACTAGATACTATGTTGAAAATAAAACAAAGATCTCACTTCTGCCTTTTGCAGGTAGCCCATATCTGTAATCTTAGCTACTCAGGAGACAGAGATCTAAAAATCTTGATTCAAAGTCAGCCTGAACAGAAGTCTGTGAGACTATTCTCACCTATTAACTAGCAAAAAGCATCAAGTGGAGCAATGGTTCAAATGCTAAAATGCCAGCCTTGAGTGAAAAAGCTAAGGGGATAGCACCCTGCCCTGAGTTCAAGTCCCAACATAAACACACATATATACACACCACACACACACACACACACACACACACACACACACACACACACACACACGATAATAGGTACTCAAGAGTAATTTTTAAAATCCATGGTAACCACTCCTAAACATGGAAAAGTAAACTTAGCTAGCAAAAGAAGAGACACCCAACATTTCCAAACTATGTTTTTAGAATCTGTTTTGAGATGCCCACTAGGAATGAGCCCATCAGCAGTCTCTTTGACTCAGTCCTTTAATGTCTTCAGACTGCTGGGGAATGCCTTGATAGACAGCCAGGGAGGAATATTAGAGGACTTTTCAATTTTCCCAGCAATCCTCCAACCTAATGAGCCTTGAGAGAAATCCTGCAAGATCCACAGGGGTACTTCAAGATGGATCCCTCCCACTTCTCAAAAAGAGTATGTTCACACCAGGTTTTGCAAGCAGGGTGAGGGCACAGCCAGATGCCCTGGCAGAGAATGGTACCACCATTGATTAGGCATTTGCCTCCTGCTGAAACTATGGAAACCTTGTATGGGAGTGACTGCTTGCTCTTTTTTAGTATAGAGATCAGGCATTTCTCGGGTGACTTCTTTTAAATCAGCAGTTCCCACAGGACCCATGGGAGCCTAATGCAATTTGTGATAAAGAGGAAATGATTCTTGTGAAAGTAATGCTCCCCTATTCCAACATGTTTTGAATGAATAATGTTGGGGAAAGGGGGTATTAAGGAAAAGTACAGCCTGAATTTGTATTGAGAAGAAGTTTGGGACAGACTTTTTTTTTTTTTAAAGCTTTTGGTTAAAACAAAGAGCCAGTATTAAGACAAGTACAGTCTAATTCTTGCAATCCCCTGTCAGGAATCCATTCTTTTTTTATTATGCCATATGCGTAGCTTGAGGTTATATTGGAATGCATAAATCTCTTGTGAGCCACAAAACATTAAGCTGCCGTTGTCCTCATAATTTCATTATCTCAGTTTCTGCCCTAAAACGTTTAACACTAATTGAACACCCGAGGTTTTCCTGTGAAGTTTATTTTCTGAACATTATTGAAGTGCTGTTGATAAAAGTCAGAATTTATGGACTCAGCACTCCTTAAAATGCCATGATAGATTTGAGCAGGAATATATATATATATATATACATATATATATATATATATATAAGCAGGAATATTTTTATGACTTTGTCTGGAATTTCAATGTCTTTCAATCACTCTACATTATAAAGCTGTCTATTTCAAAGTGTATTTCCCAAGAACCAAATGATTTCACTGAACCTAGGCTGTTCATCTGCAGGTTCATGTTGGACACATGTAGCTATCTTATTGATGTCACATTTCAGATTGGTTCTCCATGATTATTTTGTTCCTGATTAAAAAGATTTGATTTGCCAGGTGCCAGTAGCTCACACCTGACATCCTAGCTACTCAGGAGACTGAGATCTGAGGACTGTGATTCAAAGATAGCCTGGATTAGCAAGCCCATGAGATTCGTATCGCCAATAAGGCACCAAAAAGCAGGAAGTGGATCTTTGGCTCCAGTGGTAGAGTGCCAGCCTTGAGCAATAATGCTATAGTGCCCAAGCCCTGAGTTCAAGCCCCAGTACCAGCATCCCATCCCACCCAGCCTGTCCTTCATGTTATGATTCAGGCTGCCCTGAATCAAGTAAATATTGGCAGTCATCTCACTAATAGAAGTCCATTTTTTTTCTCTGAAAGAAATGCATTTGAGTGACTCAGACCTATCAAGTAGCCTTTAGTCCTTTAAGGAAAGGAACCATTTCCTGTAAGTTAAAAAATATATGTATCTATATCTACTTATAGATAGATAGATATAGATACATATATTTCTATATATACATATATTTCTATAGATAGATCAGCCAAGCACCAGTGGCTCATGCCTGTAATCCCAGCTGCTCAGTAGGCTGAAATCTAAGGATCATTATTCAAAGCCAACCTGGGCAGGAAAGTCCAGGAGAATTTTATATCCAATAAACTGCTCAGAAAAAGCTGGAAGTGGCACTGTGGTTCAAGTAGTAAAGTGCTAGCCTTGAGCACAGAGACACTTAGGGACAGAGCCCAAGCCCTGATTTCAAGCTCCAGGGCCAGTAAAAATAAATAAATTAATTAATTAAATATATATATATATACATACACACATAATAAATAGAAGCTATGCGTTAAATCTACCTCTTGGATATTGTTTGCTATTCAATTAATTTCACATGTCTCTGTCAGAAAGTAATTTATTTTAAAAATGAGCTATGATCCATGTCTCTAATGGATTTATATTAATATTTATGCACACAAACATGTGCACACACAGAGTTTATGGTATGCCATTCACCAGTGGAGTCTTTGCATCTTGGCTTCTGAAAATGGAACCCGAACTGAAGTGTTAAGTGTCCATCTCCTGCTTAAAAGGAGTAAGGTTACTATGGTAACTCCAACAGATGAGCATTTTTCTGTCATTATTATAATTGGAAAAGCAAATAATCTATTTTAAATGATAAAGCATGCAGAGGACTCTGCATCTAAAATGGTCGCTAAACTGGCTGAGACAGGACAACAGAGATTTGCTATACCTGGGACTGAGACTTGACTTTCCTAGACCAAAAAATGGTTTCTGAAGGCCTTGGCAACAGTATTCCGTTTGTTCCAATTTAGGAGCCACAATGACAGGAAAGAAAATGGATGTGGTATTTCCATCCCAGACCTTAAAATAAGTAAAAATTAAATTTGAAACTTGTTTCATAAGGTGAAACATATTTTCTTAAAAAAAATATTTTAGAAGTGTAGCCTGTGTGTGTCATTGTACATCTTCAACCTCTGCTCCCTATTTCCATTACATCATCCACCAAGAATAATTTATTTTACACATAAAAGACTTTCTCTCCCTCTCAGCAAATTCTCTTTATGCTCCTATTTACCCTCTTTAAAACACTTAGTTTTGTACCAAAAATAAAGACTAAAAGTACAATATTAACAGTGGAGGTGTGAATTTAACTTTATAGACCAATGTAAAAGAAATTTGCTATAATAAATATATGTCTTGCATAATCTTTTAGTTTCAAATTTTTCTTTTTTTATTGTGAAAATACCGTACAGAGGGGTTACAATTACATGGGCAAGATAACGAGTACATTTCTTATCAAGCATTGTTGCCTCCTCATTGTTTCCCCTTCTCATCCCTTCCCATACTCCTCCCCTCCCCCCACCCATTCCTCCCCCCACTCCCCACCAAAGTTGTTAAGTTCGTTTTTCGACATAACAACTTGTACATCTTAGAAAACTTAAGAGATAATTTTTAAAATATGCTCTCATGGGTCTAAAAGACTAATAGAAATAAAATACTCTCTGAATAACCCAAACATAATAAATGCACTATAGATAGAAATTGGTATGCTATAACTTGAAAGGTTCTTAAAGGGGTATTTCTTGCCTTAATATTTATATCAGAATATAAAAAGTGGAAATTAATGAGGTATGGATTTGGTTTTTGTTTTAAAGATGAGTTATTGATGGATACCTTTAAAAGGAATTCCTTTCTGTTTCTCTGCATGAAATTTTTTTCTAGGGTAGAGTTCTTGTATGTACCCTAGAAATAAAGGATAAAGTTTTCCTACATAATTTTCATACGACCTACTAAGATCCCACACATGATTAAACCTTTAGAAATTCCCTGCTTTCACATGATTTATCCATCAGGGGTGAGGAACCTTTGTAAGCATTTGAATGCTTACAACATCATTCTAGGGCCATACAAAATTATTAATACAGGCAGTCAGCTATGGGCAACAACAAGAAGCATATGAGAAGCATACATGCCTGCTCTTCATGTACCAAATAATTTCAAAAACCTTGTACAGACCACAGGCTGGACATCCCTAACTCCTAATTCTACAGGGTGAGGTCTTACATGAATAAGAGTTGTAACTAATGGAGTTTTCTCTAGCATGAGTTCTCATGTGTCTTAAAGTATAAAGGAAAAGCAATATCTTGGCTATATTCTTTAGATTTTTGATGGCTTGTCTCCAGTGTATGTCCTTGTTTATAAAATTCTGAAAACCTTGTTATTTTCTCACAATTTGTACATTAACCACTCAAAATTTTAATTGCTGATAGAGAAATTATGCATTCATTATTTTGGGTCACAGAACAAATGGTTACAAGCACACATTTGTGAACTCACAGTTTCTGTGGATTGGGATTCAGGATCTCTCATAGGCTTTAAGCTGGATACCACTGGGGTTTCATCTACAAAGAAACGAAAGAAGCATCCACTTAAAAACTCATATGGTTGACGGCAGGATTCAGTTCTTTGTAGGGGTTCTTAAGGCCTGGATGACTATTCCCTAGAGGTAGCTCAGTTCCTTACCAGATGGACTTCTTCAACATCTGAGTTTGTTGCATCAAAGCATTATTGTGTAGCCAAATCATGAAAGTGACCTCATAAATTTTAATATATCCTACTGGTCAGAAGAAAACCATTAGAATGAAATAAGGATACCTAACCAGTGCCATCTTGGCTACGTGATGGATGATAGAGAATTGAGTTTAACTGGCATCATCTTGTCTTCATGGTAGAGATAGGGAGGTTTCACCCCCAGGTAATGGGCATGCCTGAATTCCCAGAGGCAGGGGTGGGGACTTGGACATTAGGTTACTGAACCTGTCAGTCCTATGTTTTGAATTCATGAGAGGAAAATTTCCTGTGACCCTGCCCCATGACGTTGACTATTTAGGCCCCGCCCAGCTCCAGTGCGTTGACACCATGCCTCCTATCTCCTGTCTCCTGGCTCTCCTCTGGAGAGTTCAGTTCAGCTCTCCATTGGAGTCAATCTGGTTTGTTGGTATTGCTTTTCTGTTCTTTCTTTGCTTTACACCTGTCATGGCTGTTTTCCAGTAGTGTTCAGTGTATTCAAGAGACTGCAGGTCTTTGTGACAAGAGTCCATCTGTGGTCACTGACTTTCTAATAAAGACTCCCAATTTGACCTCTTCAAATATGGTTCTCTGTTTCTTTCAACAAGATCAACTGAAACATAAGACAGAGAATTAGCTAAAGATGTAAATACTAAGGCATCTGGTGGGGGGAGGGGCTCCCGAGAGTCTGCCTGTCACATTCAAATATCACAAATGGCTGATTGTTCTAGTTCAGTGGCACTGATAAATAGGCAAGGAGTAGCTCTCATAGCCTTAGAAGTACTGAGTTCTTAAATGCCAGTGACTTATAGTTCTAGGTCATTAAAACAAGAGGCATGCCAGACACCAGCAGCTCTTGCCTGTAACTAGCTACTCATTAGGCTCAGATCTGAGTAGTTCAAAGCCAGCCAGGGCAGGAAAATCTAGGAAACTCTTATTTCCTATGAACCACCAAAAAGTCAGAAGTGGAGTCTCATCTTATGTGGTAGAGTATCAGCCTTGACCCCAGAACTGACATAAAACACACACACACACACACACAAACTAGAGGGGCTTATGCCTTCCATCATTAAAGCCAGAGGTTTGCAATATAAGTTCACAGACAGAACAATCTAATTAGATCTAGGCCCAGAGAACTACAGGCTAATGATCGCAAGCTTTACAATGTTTGACCATAAATGTACTCACTACTTTATGTATCTAACTATAACCCCTCTGTACATCACCTTGACAATAAAATTTAAAAAACAAAACAAAAACAAAAACATAGATTTCCAGCCCTGGGTGCTCAAGTTAGAAGCTTTGTTGCCCTAGGATTTGAGTTCCTATCACTCATCCCACAATACTTTGTGAAGAGCTCCTGATCTTTGATCTTTGGCCCCTTGGTTCTTAGCCTTCAGTCACTCTTTGGAAACCTTTCATCCACGGGCTTGCAGCTTTCCCAGTTTTTGTTCTTCACAATCACTTGCCTATGCCTTTTCAACATCTCTTAACTTCTGGGGTCTCAGCTCTCTGCAAATTTCTGTTCCTTGCCATTCTGGGAAATTTTCAGCCACCTTCTCACTGCTGCTGCCTGAGCCTGGGACTGAAGGTTCTAGGAGGTATCTACTCTTAGTGTTACCAATTCATCCTCCTCTACTCACGGTAAAGATCAGGAACAGGCAATAAACAACTATTCAATTTTTTTAAAAGACTTTATTTTTGGCTAAAGATTGCAGAACTGTGAAATAGCACACAGGAGAGAAGCCTTCTGGACTATGAAACAGTAGGAAGAAAAAGAACAATACCTGCTTATATAGCTAGAAGAGGGGTGTGGCGTGCTTTGTGTATAGATTCTAGTTCCACGAATCATGAGATTGTTGCTGAGTCATTGAGGAGCTGATCCTGATCCTATCCTAAGTAGGAATAGAAGATTTATGCAGCTGAAGTCTTCCTTGTGTTGATTTGATTAGCTTTGAGTAGTGTCTACAGCAAAATCTCATGAAGCAGAAGAAATGCTTCAGCAGCAGGCATGTTCTCCATGCTCCTTGCAGCTGGCTGGAATTGCCTTGGAGCAGTGATGGAAGGTTTAAAGCAGCCAGGCTGCCAGGATGACTGTCCAGCCATTGCCAAAGATTGGGGAGTAGACAGCTTCCTTCTCAAGGCAGCTAGGCACAAAGGAAGGGTCTATCAGCTCTCATAGAAGGGATCCAACTCCTGCTCCACACAGTTTTCCTCATTCACTGAGAATAAAGAGTATTTACAATAAAGACCTAGAAAACGACTGTTGTTAACAGTAGTTAAGTGTCTTACTCCTAGCGAAACTCCCTTAGGAGACCTGAGCTCTGATTTTTCTCATAAAGAATGGCTAAAAGCTTCTCCACATGCTTTATTTACATGCATATTGAACTTTTCCAATGTCATCTCTAGCATGTGCCCTTAAGATGAAGGACAGCAGAAGACTCTCCCACATTCCCTGCATTGATAACACTTCTGTCCATTGTGTACAGAAATCTTTAAATATGAAGAACAACAGCATTCCTTTATGTAGCAGTCAGAATCTTTTCTAACAAAGTGGTGTCTGGCAGAAGCACTGCCATTTTAAGGGAAGCCACCATCTTACAGGAAGTTATTTCAGTTAAGTCACATTCATTGTTTTCCTGGCAAGTTCCTGCTTTAAACCAATGTCCTGGTTTTGTAGTACCCTGGTTTCCCAACAAGATATCCCAACACGTGGTCAATTAGGCTAGGAGTCTTTATTGCTGTGTGGCATCTGCGTCCAGCTTGCAGAGTTTAGGAATGCAGTCCTGATATGTGGATGTGCTGGGTGCTTAAGGACACAAGCTACATGCAGGTGGCCTTTTTTGCAATAGGCCAGAGCAAGCAAGCTGAGGGTACAGAAGCGAGAATTACGCAGTTAGCAGGAATTTGGCGGTTATGCTTGGTTTCCCGCTCATCCATTTCTCAGATTCTGCAGAGGTCAGGCTTGATTCCAGTTATTCGGGTCACTGTGCCTTCTGCATTGCCCCTGGCCTGGAGAGTCCCCATGGCAGAGACTGATTGTTTTACTACTACTTACTGAATTCCAGTAACCTGGTGTTTAACTCACTAATTCACTTCAAACCTTTATCTTTGGAATTTTTCCTTTTAATGACTAGCCTTGAGTTTTTTGTTTTCTACAGGGAGATCTTGCCTTTCAAGTTTGACCATATTCTTAAAAATTAATCATTTTGTTCTGTTTCTAAATTTCACATTTTATATTTTTTGGGGGTAGGGGAGGATCATCACAGTGTCAGTTGATTACTCAAACTTTCAAGCCCTTTCAAACTAAACAGTCATGCAAGATGGTGTGAAACTAAGTTGTGACTAATCCAAACAAGGGCTAGTAACATGTTAGGGATAAAATCTGTGTGGACTGCCCAGTTCCCTAGATTACTTGGCTTTCCATCAGTAGCATGCCCTTCTGCAGAAGGAGAATCTTGTCTTGCTGCGTCCCTTTCAAGTTGGTGTCTTTATTTTCACATGATACCCCAATATCCTGAAACATTTCCAACACTTGTAGAATTTGTATCCAGGTTGGACCAAGGCCTGCTTCTTAAAGGATGGATGATCCACAGAGGCTCTCCTATATGCTGCAGTTGTTGGCTTCTCCTCCAGTGGGAATTCACATAGTAAAATCTGGAAAATAGCAGGAGGTTTTCCTACAGGGGTCACATTCATTACTTTTACAGAGGCTCTCCAACTTCTGACTTCTCAAAAGTCTCTCTCTCTCTCTCTCTCTCTGTCTCTCTCTCTCTCTAACTTGTTACAAACTTTAATGACACACTATTCCCATATTTCTCCTAATATAGAGAATAAGGATTCATTCCTTAATATTCTGCTCTCTGTTCATTGGAAACTTTTCTGAATATGCTGCCAAGCGATGGACCAAGGGGTTTTAAATGGAATCTCACAATTCATTGATGCCAGGCTCTTATACCATTTTTTCCATGATGACATCTCTCATGAGTAAGGAGCTAGTAAGCTTTACTTTTTCTAAGTAAATTTCATAGCTTAATCTTCATCAATTTCATTTCCTAATTCTGAGAGGGTTTTGTAGGTATTAGTTGTAAAGCCCAAGAAGGGAGAGAAAAGGTGCAGTTGGGCCCATCTGGAATAATTTGAAGTCCAATGAGAAAAGTTTGTACTGCTTAGACTGGCAGAGCAGCTGAGATTTTTACTTTGCAATAATGTGCTTGTACTCATTTAAAATTATTTCAACAGCACCCTAATGATGTTTTTTTTAATTTAAAAATGCATTTATCTCTTTTCTACCCTATTTCTCTTTATCAATGCCTTTCTTACCTTATCATTACCATTCTTGGGAACTATAGAAACCTATTATAGCTGAAACACACAATAAAACACTCCATCCTCTTTAGTAGGAATCCTTAGCTAAATGTATAATCTGTTTCAGAAGACTGAATACATAAATAGAGAGTAGTCAGGTCATGTAGCCAAGAGAACTCTGACCCACAACCACTGCAGACACAATCCACAAAGCTGAAGTCTAATCTCTATGGCAATTGGCCTAAAACAAATAGGACCGGCAAATGATGGTGAGCTAGAAAAGACTTTATAGGCAAAGTGTGAAATGCAGTAAAAATGACAGTAAACCATATTAGAGAAGAAATATGTCAGGTCTGGCCACTCACCCCTATCTACCAAATAGAGACATCATGAAGAGCAGAAGAAGGAGAGTCACTATCTGGCATGGGCATATTGGGAGAAGACAGCACTTCAGTTCATCTTTAGACACCTCATAGGTACAGAGATGAGCATTAGGTTTAAATAATGGAAGAATTAAGGGCACAAAGAGTCCTCAGGATTGGTATAGCCTGATGGGTCATGATCTCAGTTCTGGTTCTCCTGGGTTCTGGAGATCTTGATATGGTAGACATTAGCAGATGGGAATAATCTTGTTCTTATAAGATTATTCTTCACACCCCAGGGAGCAACCTCATTACAAGTAACTGTCCTCACTTGGGGGTTGTCATAAGATGTTATTGATCAGACAGTCTTGTCTTCTCTGAAATCCAGGTTGAGCACAGAGTGACTGGAGAGAATAGCTTAGACAAAGACAAATACAGAATGGAGGCAGAAATGCCAAGCTTTTCTTTTGCTTTTAGCTAATTTCTGGGTCTAAGTAAGGAGCCAGTGCTCTTCAGAAAAAAAAAAAGCAGTTTAATGACCTGTTGCGCATACACTTTCAATAGACTGAAAGAGAGTTATCTCTAGGGTGAGAAAATGGAATTTGCATTTGGGTTTTGAGTACTTACTGATATTGCCTGTGAGAAATTCCTATCCCTAGGTTCAGCCTACAGGACTGAGGTCAGCAGTGAGTCAAGAAGCTTTAATTATAGTACAATGTTTTCTCTCAGAGCCCTTGTGATCTCTTCCTTCCAGGGTCACCATTTATGTCTCTTTGCTACGTTTTTCCCTTTAAGGACTGGAGGCCATGAGGAACTTTATTTTCTTTTTAGGTTTTCTTTGCATATCCCTTTGCTCATGGTTAGCTGCTATCTACCAAAAAATATCTTTCAGCTTCCCTATGGGTTTTATTTTCCTCCTCCCCAACTCATAATCAGCCAGAGGAGCCAGGTAGAGCCCGAAACTAAATTGCATAAGACATCTATTTCTAGTGATCCAGTGTCTAGCTTCTCCAAGCTGATGACTTAAAAGCCAAGAACTCCCTGCTTGGAAATCTCTTCTCATTGCTTAGTAGAAAGCCATAGAGAAAATAACATTGAACAAAGTATGTATGATCCAATGATAGATCCAATGATAGCTGTGGAGGGGGCTATGTTTCAGATTCTCTTCTGCATCCTCATGTCCTCAGACATAAGCTAGCTCTTGAATGAGTGTTCTATGATTTATTTCAAGGTAGATGGGTGATTTTGCTTCTGCTGTTTTTTTTTTTTCAAACGCTAAAGTGCCATAGTTGGGTGTAGCATTCCTGCATTCCCAAACCCTATGATATAGAAAGCTTTCCCAAAGCTCTCTCAATCCCCAGCCTGCCTTTGAACATCTGCCAAATGCAAGTGATAGTAGCTCTACCTCTTAATAAGTAGACATAGTCTTTCTTTCTCATTCTCTCTGACCTCCTCCCTAACCCACTCCTCCTTCTCCTTTCTCCCTGTCTCTCTCTTCAATTTCACTATTTTTTTTATTTCTACAAATGAAAAGATGAGTGGTTCAAAATATTTTCATCTTAGAGCTCTCTCACAGCTGAAAGGAATACTAAAGATCTGATTTAGGAAAATTACATGTGTTTTACAGAATTCTACCATTTCACTAGATTTCCATTAGACAAAGAAGAAAATTCCTATTAGGAACAGGACAAGCTCTTTATCACTCTGCTTTTTCTTCCCCTGAAACATCTTTCCTGAGATCTAAGTCACATATCATTCACTCACCCACTAATTATATATTTCTTTTTTTTTTTGTAGGTCGTGGGGCTTGAACTCTGGGCCTGGGCGCTGTCCCTCAGCTCTTCAGCTCAAGGCGAGCGCTCTACCACTTGAGCTACAACGCCACTTCCGGTTTTCTAGTGGTTTATTGGAGATAGGAGTCTCACAGTCTTTCCTGCCCGGGCTGGCTTTGAACCGCGATTCTCAGATCGCAGCCTCCTGAGTAGCTAGCGTGAGCCACCGGCGCCTGGCTTATATTTCATTTTTTTATATTCACAGAGCTGTACAACTCTCACCATATGCATTGTATTACTATGGATTTTATATCTCTGTACACACAAATTTGTATATATCTCAGATTGAAATATCAAGAAAAGACTACATGTATGGAGTGTTTAGTATGTGCTTGGCACTGCACTACACGCTTTAAACAAATTAACCTACCAATCCTCAAAGCAACCCTATGATTACTGTTACATCCATCATACAGGTAGAAAACAAAAGAACAAAGCAGAGTCCCATAGCTGGATCAGAACCCCAGCAGGCTTGCTTTGTCTTATATATCTCAAGACATTTAAATTCTGCTACTTTTAAAAAAGTCAAATGGACTTTATTGTGTCATTGAGGGCACTTTTAGAAAAGAACAGTTTTCTTTCCTAGGTTTCTATATACTTACTTCTAGATATAACCTCACAGTCCTGTTTAGTCAGCTTTTCTCTCTTCTTCCCTGCCTCTCTTTCTCTATTTAAAAACAAAATTCTTAGCTGTGTTCAGTTTTACATGACTCTAACCCTAGCTACCTGGGAGGCTAAGATAGGGAAAATCAAGGTTTGAGACCAACATGGATGAAAAAAAAAATTTGTTAGATTTCATCTCAACCAATACAAAGCTGGGTACAGTATCATGTGCCTTTCATTCCAGCTATAAGAGAAGGGCAAATAGGTAGATTTAGGTCCAGGGCAGCACAGTGGCACAGAATTAACACACACACACACACACACACACACACACACACACACACACACACAGAGACAAAACTTCCTTCAATGGAGAGGCTTCTTACATATCTCTTCTTATTTATTGCTCACTAAGATGACTACCAAACCATATATTCTTTAGAATGATTCCTAAATCAACAAATTCAAAGGTGCTGATCACATCTATAAATGACCAAGAAATATTACCCCCATCCCAATCACTTACATGCTTAAGGTGTTATTAACATTTCCCAAACACTTTTGCCTCTGTCCTTAAAATGTTTACCATTCATCTCAATATTTCCACATAGCTCCCTTTTCAATGGTGCATGGGGGTAAGGGGGGGGGGGAGGCAATGAGGTGATGGGGAGAGGCAGGGTGGGGGCACAGCTCTCTGAAACACAGCCTGTGGGATCTTGTCGTCTTCCAAACAGAGCATTATTTCAATGCCAAAAATTGGGGTTGAATTTAAATGTTACCAGCAAATTAAGATTTTTTTTTACTTTGTGCTAAGCTTGGAGAAAGGAGGACCTTGGAAGTGATAGTTTGCCAGTTGCCATTTGGTGGAGCCCTGCAGAGTGCCGAGTGGCATCTGTGCCTGGTTTGTTAGGATGTGGACAGGTGCCCAACTACCCGCTTCACAGGAGGGAGGGGTTGAAGGCTGCTGCTCAATGACTGAACATCACTTTGACTGCAAAACCTTCCTTTGATGATCCCCATGAGCTCAGCTGCCAATGTAGCTGCTGAAACTGGCCTCTTAAACTGTGGAATTTGTTCAACTACTAGCTACTATTCTCACAGGTCCCCTGCCTGCCCTGGACAAATCATAGAGGGACAATTATGTCCTACAAGAGTCAGGGGGTGACTGGAAATGCCCCCATCCCTAGGTCCCTCTGTCAGTATGCAGAACAGGAAACCATGTCAACCCTTCATGTGAGCCAGATGCACTAATCTTGCTGACAGAGAGCTTTGGTTCTAGGCAAGGCCATGCAGGCAGTTAATTATACCCAGAGTTAATTGAGTGGTCACATTAACAGTCTGGTCTCAGGAGGTCTAAAAGAGGATTCCAGAAATTTAGACATATAACACCCTCCAAATGATGGCAAATGAGACATCATGTTCTTTTTGACCTTCCCTTTCAATTTGGGATGATGATTTCATTAATCAGGATTTCACCCCACCCCACCCCCACCCCTCGTCATTCTAATTGACAGATGCTAATTAAAATAGCAAGGAGGATCCTCATGGGCAGTTTCTTCTGTGTTTCTTCGGTGACCATTCTGTTCTTGACTAGATTTAGCATGACTCTTTCCCCTCAATTAACAGACAAGTTAAACTTTATATTCTCTTAAATTTTTATTACTCATAATTAGGAAGTGGGGAAAAACCATTTTGTGTTTTACAACTTTTCAATGTAGAAGTAAATTGGGTCCTCAAATAATGTGGGACTCACTACCTAATATGAGGTGAGCCAGCATGAGGTGGAAGACAGTCTCTTCTGGGACCCTGAATGCACTCAGCCCTTCCCCCAACATCCTAGACCTAGCTCACTCTCACATTGATGAAACATAGTAAGGGATTTCATTTTCATGTTTTAATTCTGGACTTAATTTTAAAATTTGTCCAGTACTAAAATATAAGATTCTACACATAAAAAATTAACAATGGCAAAAAATATTGGCTTTCATTCTAAGGGCAAGGTTGTACATTATTTTTATTCTTGTGTGTGTGTGTGTGCATATGAACATGCACATATGCACACATGCATTGTTACTAGGGCTTGAACTCAGGGCCTGGACATTGATCCTTAGCTTTTTCTCTCAGTGTTGGAGCTCTACCACTTGAGTCATAGCTCTATTTCTGGATTTTTATGTTAATAAGAAAAGAGTTTCATGGACTTTCTGTCCAGGTTGGATTTGAACTACAATCTTAGATCCCTGACTCTTGAGTAACTAGGATTACAGGCCTGAACCACTGGCACCAGATTTGTTCTTACATTGTATAAAAACAGAGGGTCACATGAAATCCTGACTAGCCCATTGTATCCAGTCAGTACTCTGTGACTATTATTCAAATGAGTCTCTTTGTCAATCCTCTGTATCACTATACCCCAAACTTTATGTTTAGTCCTTTTATATCTGTTTTCAACATTTGCTCTGCTAAAAATGAGTAACTTGAGTACAGAGTATAGGCTAGTAGACAATGTAATAGTTTTTCTTGAAGGTATTTCCTTAGTTAGCCCCCCAAGAAGAAAGGGTAAGTATGAAATACTGATTATACTTTACCCCCCCAAAAAGAAAGAGGAAATTAGCCATGAATGAAAAAAATTACATTAAGACAAAAATATGCTCAGTAATTAACTTTAATGGTATTGATTTTTTTAAACACGAATTTTCATTAAAATGCAATTTTAAGTTCTTAGCCAATCCATAGATTTTTATTCTCCCCTCTGAGCAGAAAATATTGGATTTCAACAGTTTACATTTTGATTCTAAAATGTAACTGTGCTGTTTGTCTTAGAAGTGAGACAAAAAAAAATTATCTCTGGGTGTAAGATATTTTGAAAGGCAGAAGGAAGCAGGATGTTGAGAAGGAAAGTGAGATTTCCGATTCTTCATTCTTCCTGGGGAAAAGTCTCACCATTAAATATCAACAATAATTTCCACATT